ACTCGCTGACACTGCAGGACCTGGCGGTGCAGGCGCTGGGGCTGCGGGCCCTGCAGGAGATCAGCAGTGGGATGGTGCTGGTGCACCACAACCCCCAGCTCTGCTTCCTCCAGAAGGTGCCCTGGCACAGCATCTTCCGTAACCCCCGCCAGCGCCTCTTCCAGACCCACAACAAACCCCCCGAGCAGTGCGGTAGGAGGGGTCTCGTGGGGGTGGGGGAGATGGTGAACCCTCCCATTGCTGACAAAGGTGCTGATGGTGCCCCTCCTGCAGAGAGAGAGGGGCTGGTTTGCTTCCACCTCTGTGCCCAGGGGCACTGCTGGGGCCCCGGCCCCACCCAGTGCGTGGCGTGCGAGCGGTTCCTGCGCGGCCAGGAGTGCGTGGCCTCCTGCAACCTCCTGGATGGGTGAGTGGAGACGCTCGGCAGTGCCAAACAGAGCGCCCACACACACTGCAGGGCGAGGCTGGCATCCCATCCCTGCCCCTTTTGCCCTGCAGAGCCATCCGGGAACACGCCAACGGGACGCGGTGCCTGCCGTGCCACCCCGAGTGCCAGCCCCAGAACGGCACCGAGACCTGCTTCGGATCGGTGAGGACAGGGACACACACTGGGGGCAGTGAGGGTGGCCCCACACACCCGGGTGCCTCAATCCTCCCCTGTTCCTGCAGGATCCAGACCAGTGCGTGGCCTGTGCCCACTACAAGGACGCCCAGCAGTGTGTGCGGCGCTGCCCCAGCGGCGTCAAGGCCGACGCCTCCTTCGTGCCCGTCTGGAAATACCCGGATGAATTCGGAGTGTGCCAGCTCTGCCCCACCAACTGCACCCACTCGTGAGTTGGGGGGGTCCCTAGATGAGATGGGGGTGCTGGCAGCTGCAGGGGGCTGCTGACAGCAACGGGCTACACCTGTGTCCCCAGGTGCACGATCCGGGATGAGGATGGATGTCCTGTGGACCAGAAGCCAAGGTAGGGGTGTCACAGACATCTTTGATGAAAAATCTTTTCTTTAGGATTTTTTCCTCCTGAGAAGCTGAGAGGCCTCAGGAACAAAATGTAAACAATGATTATCTGCTGCTGTGGAATGGAACAGGTGCATCTGGGATTGGCCCATGTTGGTTGTTTCTAATTAATGGCCAATCACAGTCAGCTGGCTCAGACAGAGAGTCTAAGCCACAGGCCTTTGTTATCATTCTTTCCTATTCTATTCTTAGCCAGCCTTCTGATGAAATCCTTTCCTCTATTCCTTTAGTATAGTTTTAATATATACAATAAAATAATAAATCAAGGTTTCTGAAACATGGAGTCAGGTCCTCATCTCTTCCCTCATCCTAACACTCCTGTGAACACGGTCACAGTAGGGATGTGGCTCTGTTGTGCCACCACCACTCTGGGTGATGGGGGTCAGGCTCACACTGATGGCCTTTTGGCACACAGCCAGGTGACATCCATCATTGCTGGCGTGGTTGGGGCTCTGCTGGTCATCGTCCTGCTCCTCATCACCGTCATCTGTGTCAAGCGCCGGCGGCAGCAGGAGCGCAAGCACACCATGAGGAGGCTGCTGCAGGAGACCGAGGTGGGGATCTCCTGGGGGGCAGGAGGGGACCCTCGGGGCTTGGGAGGGATCAGGAGCCCAGCCCCCCTCACCTCTTCCTGCCCCACAGCTGGTGGAGCCACTGACGCCCAGCGGGGCCCTCCCCAACCAAGCCCAGATGAGGATCCTCAAGGAGACGGAGCTGAAGAAAGTGAAAGTTTTGGGTTCTGGTGCTTTTGGCACTGTCTATAAGGTGAGGAGTGGGGACAGCAGAACTGGATGTGACCCTCCATGCTCTGCATCCTCTCACCTGCTTGTCCCCACCTCAGGGCATCTGGATCCCCGATGGGGAGAGCGTGAAGATCCCCGTGGCCATCAAAGTCTTGCGGGAGAACACATCACCCAAAGCCAACAAGGAGATCCTGGATGTGAGTGTGGCCACAACCCTGGGGGGGAACGGGGCTGGCAGCAGCCCATGCCCACCCTGACCCCCACCCTGACCCCCCTCCTGCCCACAGGAGGCCTATGTGATGGCAGGGGTGGGCAGCCCCTACGTGTCCCGGCTGCTGGGCATCTGCCTGACCTCCACGGTGCAGCTGGTGACGCAGCTGATGCCCTACGGCTGCCTGCTGGACTACGTGAGGGAGAACAAGGACCACATCGGCTCCCAGGACCTGCTCAACTGGTGTGTGCAGATTGCCAAGGTAGGACAGGGCACCTGGGCAGCTCTGGGGAGGTCCTTGGGGAGACCAGGGACAGCTGGACATGTGTCACCTCCAGGGGATGAGTTACCTGGAGGAGGTGAGACTGGTGCACCGGGACTTGGCCGCTCGCAACGTCCTCGTCAAGAGCCCCAACCACGTCAAGATCACCGACTTTGGGCTGGCCCGGCTGCTCGACATCGACGAGACCGAGTACCACGCTGATGGTGGCAAGGTAGGGCGTGGGACTCAGTGACAGGGGTGCTCCCCTTGGTGACAGCCACCCCTGGTCCTGCTCACCTCTCTGTCCCAGGTGCCCATCAAGTGGATGGCGCTGGAGTCCATCCTCCGCCGGCGCTTCACGCACCAGAGCGATGTCTGGAGTTACGGTGTGTCAGGGTGTCCCCACCCCGGGGGACTTGGGGGGGTCCCAGTGCACTGCTGACCCCCACACCTGTCCCCATCCCCTCCAGGTGTCACCGTGTGGGAGCTGATGACGTTTGGGGCAAAGCCCTACGATGGGATCCCTGCCCGGGAGATCCCAGACTTGCTGGAGAAGGGCGAGCGGCTGCCGCAGCCGCCCATCTGCACCATCGACGTCTACATGATCATGGTGAAATGTACGGGGAGGGGACACGGGGACAGGGAGGGGACAGGGCCTGCTGTCCACCCTGCTCCTGGCCCCTGATGGCACCTGGCTCTGTTCAGGCTGGATGATTGACTCCGAGTGCCGGCCCAAGTTCCGGGAGCTGGTCACCGAGTTCTCCCGCATGGCCCGCGACCCCCAGCGCTTCGTGGTCATCCAGGTACGGAGATCCCCGAGCTCCTGTCCCCTCCCTGGTGCCCTGGGGTGAGCACTGAGCACTGTGACCCCCCCAGAACGACCTGGTGGGGCTGCCTGGCTCCATGGACAGCACCTTCTACCGGGCACTGCTGGATGAGGAGGACATGGACGACCTGGTGGACGCTGAGGAGTACCTGGTGCCTCACCACGGCTTCTTCAGCACCGACACCTCCACCACCTACCGCAGCCGCATCTCCTCCATGCGGGTACGCGGGGAGGGCTGGGAGGGAGCTCCCAGTGCTGGCAGACGTGGGGGTGACCCCGTGCCACGTCTGGGATGGGCTCAAGTGCCTGACTCTGTGTCCTCTCCCACACCCAGAGCACGGCAGAGTCTCCAGCCAAGGTGGAAGAGGGCGAGGGCTTGGCCTCGTTCTCCTTCTCCGCCCAAGGCCTGGCAGAGGGGCCAGAGGGACCTGTCCCAGAGGTGCCAGATGGGGACAAGGTGGCCCTGCAGAGCCCCCCGGGGCGGGAGCCTGGGACCCTGCCCCGGTACAGTGAGGATCCCACCGGGCTGACGGCCAAGGATGGAGAGGAGCCTGAATGCTTCACTGTCCCAGCCCCCCACAGCACCATGCCAGGTAGGGAGGGCACAGCCAGACCCTTGGGGAGGTGGTGGGGGGCATCTGCCTGTCCCATGACCCCTAGGGGGTCCCTAACATGTCCCTCACCCTGCAGAGTACGTGAACCAGGCTGGGGAACGCCCGCCCCGCGCGCCCCCGTCCCCGCCGGACAAACCCAAGGGGCACCAGGGCAAGAACGGGCTCATCAAGGACCCCAAGAACTCCTTCCCAGGGCCCTTCGGCCACGCTGTGGAGAACCCCGAGTACCTGGCACCACCCCATGGTGCCCCCAGCCCTGGCCCCTTCAGCCAGGCCTTCGACAACCCCTACTACTGGAACCAGGACCCTGCCAAGGGTGGTGGCCCCGAAGGTGGCCCTGGCACGACGCCCACGGCCGAGAACCCCGAGTACCTCGGCCTGGCCAGCCCCGACGCCACGGCCGTGTAGGAGAGACCCCCCCAACTTCACCAAGGCAGCTCAGGGAGGGATGAGCCACAGCTGTGGGGCTGGGAGTCCACCCCTCTGCCCAGGGGTGGCACCGCTCACGGAGCCAGGACGCTGTGGGACAGCGCGGCAGCAGAGTGGGGACACGAGGGTCACCCTGGGTGGCACCCCACGAGCAGCCCAGAGCAGGGCCTGGAGAAGGACAGACCCTGTGCCATCCCCCCCATGCAGGGCTGTCCCAGTGCCTGGGACACGTGGACTTGCACTGAGGGCAGCTGGACTGAGAGCAGTCCCGGCTGCTCCGGGATCCTCTGGAAGCACCGGGATGTATATTTGACAATTGTACATTGGTTGGTTTTTCTACTCCTGTGGTCTGTTTGGTTTCTCCTTCTCCTTCGGATCCAGCTCCATCTCCCAAGGACCAACATCTTATATCCCTTCCCTTTTTCCTTCTTTTTTCCCATTTTCCTTCTCTTTTTCCCTTCTTTTTTTCCCCTTTTTCCTTCCCTTTCCCCTTTTTTCCTTCCTCCTTTTTTCTTTTTCTTTCCCTTTCCCCTTCTTTTTGCCCCCTTTTTCCTTCCCCTTTTCCATTCCCCTTTTCCCTCTTTCCCCTTCCCTTCCTTTTCCTTCTCCCACTCCTCCTTTTTTCCCTTTCCTTTCCTCCCCATTTCCTTTCCCCTTCTCTTTTCTCTCCTTTCCATTCCTTTTTCTGTCCCTTTTCCCTTTCTCCATTCCCTTTTGTCTTCCATTTTCTGCTTCTTTCTTCTTCCCCTTTCCCTTCCTTTTCCTTCTCCCACTCCTCCTTTTCCCCCCTTCCCTTCCTCCCCTCTCTGCCACCCCCCACCACTTGCCTGAAGGACAAAATTCGTGATCCCAGGCAAACTCCAGGACCCCCCCAATCCCAAGGGACACCAGAGGAGCCACATTCTCCATCCTTTATTCCACCCAGGCCGTTGGGTTTATACACAGTATAGAATAAATAGGGGATCCCCCCATCCCAAGGCCAAGGGCAGGGACATTCCAGGCAGGAAGCAGGAGCTGGGAGCCTGGGAATGGGCAGGGGGGATGTGAACACACCTGTGCCTGTGGGGCCAGCCTGGGCTTCCCATGGCCTGGATTAAACAGTGCCAGAGGGATTTTAATCATTAACAGATCCCAGGGAAAGTTACAGCCAGTGGATTCCCCTTGGAATGAACCTGCTGGGAGCTGCTCCAACGCCCAGCCTGGCTCCCCATTCATGGGAGACACCCCCAGATTGCCCAGCACAGAGAAATGGGGGTGCCAACCCTGTACCCCTCAGGGAGGAGCAGCTGCTGAGGGGGGGAAGGCAAAGGCAGGTGGGAGACCCCCCCCCAAATCCACAGCTACACCCCACAGCAGGTCGGGCAGGGGATACAACAACCCCCAGTGCCACCGTGGGGGTCCCCAGGAGGCTCCTGAGCCCCCCCAGGGGTGCAGGATTTAAGGAAGGCAGCGTGGGGGACCCTGCTGTCCTTGGGGGGGTTACAGGATGACGCAGGGGGGGCGGCTGTTGGTGATTTTCTCCAGGGGCTCCCCATTGCGGGCTCTGCGGATGGCCTCGATCAGCTGGGGAGACACGGGGGTGACAGGGACAAATCCAGGCCACACTGAAGAGCTGCCCCTCTGTCCCCTCCCACCCCACCCCAGCAGGACCTGCACAGGGTCCTGGCAGGGTGGCAGGAGGGAGAACAGCTCCATAAAACAATGATCCCATCACAGGAGGGGCTCCCTGCAAACCAAACACCCCCAGGCCAGCCCCCCTGGTGGGTACTCACATCCTTCTCGTAGGGAAAACCTCCATTCTCCAGCTTGGAGAACACCAGCTGCCCATTGATCTCGATCTCAAAGGCACCTGAGGGCACACACAGGGCCCAGCCATCAGCTGTGTCCCCCCAAAACCCCCCCCATGGCATCCCCCCCACAACTCTGCCCCCACTGAGGGGCAACACCCAGACCATCCCCACCCCCCCCAGCCTTCCAGCCAGGCTTAACCCCCCCCAAATCCCAGCAGGGCACTGGGGGGGGCCTGGGGTGTCCCCCCGAGGCTGCTGTGGGGTCTCACCAGTGCCCCCCAGGCGTGACTCGATCTCGATGTCGGGGTACTCGTCCCGCACGGCGCTCGCCAGCTCCTGGTAGGTGGCCTCGAAGCCACAGGGCTCGCTGGGGAGGGGGGGACTGCCTGAGGAGGGGGCACGGGGACCCCCCAAACCCTCCCCGAACTGAGGAGCCCCCCCACAAGAGCTCTGCTGCCTCCTGTACCCCCAGTTCCCAATGCCCCCCTTAGGAGCCCTCCCACACCCTCAGCCCCCTGTACCCCATAACCGTCAGTACCTCCTCAGCCCCCCAATTCCCCTATAAGCCCTCAATTCCCTCACCCTGCAGAGCCCCCCAAATCCTCTACAACCCTTCCTCAGCCCCCCAAATCCTCTATAACCCCGCAATTCCCCCACGCTCAGAGCCCCCCAAATCCTCTATAACCCCTTCCTCAGCCCCCCAATTCCCCTATAACCCCTCCCCAGCCCCCAAATTCTCCTATAACCTCCAATTCCCCCACCCTGCAGAGCCCCCCAACCTCCCTCCAGCTCCCTCCTCAGCCCCCAACCCCCCTCTAGATCCCCCTCAGCCTCTCCCTTCTCCCCCCAGCGCCCTCCGTGCCTGGACTCGCCGCATGCCTCACCCCAGTTCCCCCCAGTTCGTGCTCCCGGTGCTCCGGTACCGCTGTGGGCCGGTGCTCCGGTACCCCGGGCGGCTCCCAGCCCCGAAGCCCCTGGGGTCCCCTCGGTTCCCCTCGGTTCATCCGCCCGCGGGCTCTCCGCGGCCGCGGCGCTCACCAATACTCCACCACGATGCGGACCCGCCGCTCGGCCCCGCTCTCGGCCCCGTTGCCGTCACCGTTCCCGTTCCCGGCGCCGCCGCTCATGGCCCCCGGTGCCGCCGCGCCGCCGCTTCCGGGTGCGGTCACGTGACGCGCCCGTTTCCGGGGCCGCTCTGTCCCGCCCCGCCCTCGTCTCGTCTGCTCTGGGAGGACCGCCGTGACCCCGGTGACCCCCGGGGGACCCAAAATGACCCAAAGTGACTTCCAGGACACCTAAAGCGACCCCCAAGGGACCCAAACTCTCCGTGTGTCACCTGCAGTGACCCCAAAGACCCGCAAAGGCCCCATGAGACGCATAGTGACCTCAGTGACCCCCGTGTCACTCACAGCCACCCCCGTGGGACCCAAAGTGACCTCTGGGGGACACACATGGGACCTGAACTGACCCTCACAGGAGCTCTGGATTCCCATGGGAGTCCCCATTGCCCTGTGGGACCCGCACCTAAAGCCCTGTGGGGGTTCTATGGGGTCCTGTAGCCCCCCCCAGACCAATCGGAACCCTCAGCATCCCCCACAGGGACACCTGAACCCCTTCCTGGGGACACCTCTGTGACCCAATGGCACCCCTAGTCCCCAGTGCAGACTCCCAGACCCAGTGTGGGGACACCCACAGGCGACCCCACAGGGGACACCCATAAGGGACCCCACAGGGGACGGCCCCAGGGGACCCCACAGGACACACACAGAGCCCCTAAAGGACCCCACTGCATTCCCATATCCCAAATTCTGGCCCCAACCCTCCTGGAAGGGGCCCTGACCTGCATGAGATTCCCATGACCCCACGGTCCCACCTGGCAGGGGTTCCTGAGGGGACAATGGGGACACCCCCTCCCCCCATGGGACCCCCCCAGCCCAAATCTGGGGGTCCCAGGGGAGCCCCACCCCAAACCCCACCCCAAACCCGAATTTGGGGGCTGAGGAAAGGGTTGTAGAGGAATTGGGGGGGTTATAAGGGAATTGGGGGGTTATAGGGGAATTTAGGGGCTGAGGAGGGGTTCTAGAGGGTTGGGGGGCTCTGAGGGGTGGGAGATTGGGGGCTTATAGGGGAATTGGGGGGCTGAGGAAAGGGTTCTAGAGGAATTGGGAGGTTATGGGGGAATTGGCTGGGGGTCAGTGGGATCTGCACCCCCAGGACACCCCGAGGGGTCCCCGTGTCCCCCCACGCCCGGTGCATTGTGGGAAACTCCCCATCACCACCTCAGGGGGGTTTTGGGGGGGGGGGGGGCTGCGCCGGGGTCGGGCTGGACACCCCCCAAGGGGTCTGGGGGGGCTGGGGGGCCCCTCTGGGTGCCGGTGGGGGGCCGGTACCGGGCGCGGTGATGTCAGGCGGGGGCGGGAGCTGTTGCAGGTAGATAAAGCCGGGCAGAACAGGAATCCCTGGTCCGGCGGGACGGGGCCGGGGCCGGGACGCGGCGGGAGCTGCAGGTAGGAGCGGGGCCGGCCCGGGGGCTCCCGGGGGCTCCCGGGGCCGGGGAGGGTCGCTGCTCATCCCGGGGTGTTGGTTCTGTCCCGTCGGGAACGAGCCCGGAGCTCTGGCTGAGCCCGCAGCCCTCCCCTCCCTCCTTCCCGCCTTCCTCCCGGCTCTTCCTCCTCCTCTGCTGTCCGGCCGTGCCTCCTCTGCCTCCTCTGCACCCCTGGGGAGCTCTGGACCCCCAGTCTCGGGACCCTCACCCACACCTGGCGTCCTGGTCCTTAATCCTGGTGGTCCTGGCATGCTGTCCCTTGTCCTGGTGGCCCTGGGATCCCATCCCCTCACCCTGGTGGCCCTGGGATCCCATCCCCTCACCCTGGTGGCCCTGGGATCCTGTCCCTCACCCTGGTGGCCCTGTGACTCCATTCCTCAGCCCTGGTGGCCCTGGGATCCTGTCCCTCAGCCCTGCTGTCCTGGGACCCTCACTCTGGTGGCCCTGGACCCTCTGCTCCACTGTCCTGGTGGCCCTGAGGCCCATCCCGGTGCTCCTGAGCCCCTCCAGTGCCCCTCCCCACAATTCTGATGTCCCCTGTGTCCCCTGCTTGTCCCCTGGTGCTCCTGAGCCCCTCCAGTCCCCCACCCCCTAGACCTGATGTCCCCTGTGTCCCCTGATTGTCCCACACTCATCCTGGTGGCCCTGGCCCCCTCCAGTCCCCCTCCCCACACCCCCAATGTTCCCTGTGTCCCCTCTTTGTCCCCCAGTGCTCCTGGCCCACCCCAGTCCCCCTCCCCACAACCCTGATGTCCCCTGTGTCCCCTCTTTGTGCCCTGGTTGTCCTGACCCCCTCCAGTCCCCACCCCATAGCCCTGCTGTCGCTGTCCCTTTGCCCAAAGCCCCGTGTCCCCTGATTGTCCCACACCCATCCTGGTGCTCCTGAGCCCCTCCCGTCCCCCTCCCCATAGCCCCGATGTCCCTGTCCCTTTGTGTCCCCAGTTTGTCCCACCCCGAGTGTCCCCACCCTGCCACTGCCACCAGCACAGGGCTCACACCGGGGTGACCTGAGGCCACCACGGGGGTGGTGCCAGGGCGGTGTCCCCGCTGCCAGGGCCGTGTGTGTCACATTCCCCCCCTCCGTGTGTCCCCTGCTGTGTCTCAGCCACCCTGCCTGTCCCCCGGCTGTCCCCGTGTCCCCAAATCACCCCGGGCACAGCCAGGGAGGGGACACAGGGAGCGGGGATGGGGCAGAGGGATGGGGACAGGGACACGACAGGGACACAGGGATGGCATGGGGGTGACATCAGCCCTGCCAAGCACGGACTTGGACCCAAGAGGTGGCAGCAGGGACGGGCAGCGGGCGAATGATTAACGCGGCTCTGCCCGGTGTCCCGCGGCCACCGGGTGCCACCGTGGGTGCCACCGCGGGTGCCACCGTGGGTGCCACGTGTGTGCTCCGTGTGCCACGTGCTGGGGGGGCCGCGGCACCTCCCGGGGCCACATCCCGGGGCCGGTCGCGGTGTCCGGGCGTGAGCGGTGGCACCGGGCGTGGGTGGGGACACGGGGGGGCTGGCGGCGGTTCCCACGGCGGCTCCCTCGCCCCCGGCTCCCGGGCCCGGATGCCAGCGCGGTGAGGTGGAGCTGGGAGCGGCTGCCGGGACCGGTTTGGCCGGACCCGAGGAGGTGTTTGGGGCTGAGCCGCCGCCGCCGCCACGCTCGCCTTCCTCCTCTGCTCGGCGCCGGCGTGGCTCGGCCTGGCAAAGCTCGGCCTGGCAAAGCTCAGCCCAGCCCAGCATCTCCCAGCGCTCCCAGACGCTCGGTGCTGGTGAGGGAATTCTGGGGCTCTCACCAGGGGCTGTGCTCAGCATCAGGGTCGTGCTCCAGCCCCCAGCACCCCGACAGGACTGGGGGGACAGGGACACCCCCTTGGTGTCCCAACATCCCACCCAGGGCTGGGGTCCTGCTTGTCTGGGCAGGAGAACACCCCTGGGTGGGTGCCAGGGGTGGGAGCCCACCTGGAGCCCACCTGGGGGCTGCCCACACCTGGCCACGGCCCCCCAGATGTGGCCACGGGTGCCAGCCCCCCTCTGTGTCCCCCCACAGATGATGCCATGGAGGGGGGGGCTCAGCAGAGCAGCCTCTGGGAGCCCCCCGAGCAGGAGGGGGGCCCTGCAGAGCGGGATGGGGGCGAGGGCCCGCCCGAGCTCCGGCGCTCCCAGCCCCTCTTCATCCACGGCAGCAGGTGGGTGAGGCCCGGGGGGGTCGGGGGGTGCTCGGGGAGGGTCACAGGGGGCGCAGAGCTCATCCCCCGCCCCCTTCCTGCAGCCGGCAGCCGCCACAGGAGGAGCCGCGGGCGTCGTCGCTGCCCAGCATCCCCAACCCCTTCCCCGAGCTCTGCAGCCCCTCCAACTCCCCCATCCTGAGCAGCCCGGCCCTGGGACAGGGACCCCCCCGCGAGGGCGCCTCCCACGTGAGTCAGGGGCTGGGGCTGGGCAGGGGGGGCTGGGACCCCTGCACGGGATGGGGCTGGGACCCCTGCAGAGGATGGGGAGAGGGTCTGGGACCCCTGCAGGGGATGGGGAGGGGGCTCTTGGGGCACCCCCCAGGTGAGGTGAGAGTCAGGGGGCTGGGAGAGGGGAGGGATGCCATCCCTGGGAAAGGAACCACCTCTCCCACATGAATCAAGGGCCTGGGATGGAGGGATTCCATCCCTGGGATAGAAACCACCTCCTAAATAAATGAAGGGGCTGGGAAGGGGGGACAGGAACCACCTCCTGGATGAATCAAGATTTTGGGAAGGGGGGATCCCATCCCTGGGACAGGAACCACCTCCCAAATGAATCACGGCTGTGGGAAGGGGGGGATCCCATCCCCGGGACCACCTCCCAAATGAATCAAGGGGCTGGGAAGGGGGGATCCCATCCTTGGAGCAGGAATCACCTCCTAAATAAATGAAGGGGCTGGGAAGGGGGGACAGGAACAACCTCCTGGATGAATCAAGATTTTGGGAAGGGAGGATTCCATCCTTGGGACAGGAACCACCTCCTGAATGAATCAAGATTTTGGGAAGGGGGGGATTCCATCCTTGGGACAGGAACCACCTCCCACATGAGCTGGGGAGCAGCAGGTGGGGTGGGATGATCTCACCTGTGCTCCTCTGGTGCCGGGGGGGCCCTGACAGCCCCTGTGCCCCCTGCCAGGTGGTGAAGGTGTTTGGTGAGGACGGCGCCTGCCGCTCTCTGGAGGCCTCGGCGGGCACCACGGCGCGGCAGCTCTGCGAGACCCTGGTGCGCAGGACACGGGCACTGCACGACCACAGCTGGGCCCTGGTGGAGCTGCACCAGCACCTGGCCCTGGGTGAGCAGCCCTGGGGGTGGTGGAGCTCACAGGGGTCCCAGGATGAGGGAAGAGAGGGAATTTTGACTCCATGTTTCAGAAGGCTGATTTATTATTATTATTATTATTATTATTATTATTATTATTATTATTATTATTATTATTATTATTAATGTATTTATTTTTATTATATATCACAAATATATTATTATTTGTGATCTATATTAGATTAAAAGAAAATGATCTATTAAAACTACACTAAAAACAATAGAGAAAGGATTTTATCAGAAGGCTTGAAAGGAAAAGGAATGGAATCACAATAAAATCCT